AGAAGAAAAACAAATCTCATCTGACGGTGAAAGATTGTGAAAAGTTGCAGATTTCTGTCTCACTGTGTCAAGATTTTTTAAGTTTTAACAGATTTTCTATAACTAAGCAGGGAAAGTCCTGCAGAAACGAAACCAAGACTCGAAATATGAAATGAGGTGATGAAGACTTTACATGAATGTTAACGATTAACGGCATTTATTGGTCGTTCTGAGCAGCACACAGAGGTCCACAGAAGACAGCTGTGAGGGATGAACACACTCTGTGTTCGGTTCAGCCCCGCCCCTGGGTCTGAGTTTACAGAAATTGTAGCCAATCACAAACGCAGTCAGTCGCAGATTCCATCGAATCAGATTCGTCGTCTTTGCTCAGTGGAGGTTCCACACGGGATTCCATTTGCGCTCCTGCGGAAACCAGGGGGCTGTGAGCTGCCCCTTCCCTCAGCTGTGAAGAAGCAGACGGTACGTTCTAATTGTGTACATGTTGTCACCGTGTTCGTGAACAGAACCACGGCTAACGTGAAGTCACGGAGGGCTAATCTGATAGCAACTACTGCTAACATGTTATCGTGATGCATTTGCTTTGCAGGCGCATCTATTCGCCTTTGTTCGCTAAGCTAATCTGCTAATTGCTAACTGGCTGCTCTTTCAATTGAAATCGAAATGTTTTCGTTAGATAACAACATTTTGATTCATTTGACTTGTGTGTTTTTCTCAGTGTATCAGTCGTTTAAATGTATCTGGCTTTATTTACAGTGGGAGTGGTTAACTAGCGGTCGCCTCTCTTTGCTTTGCACCACAATAAAATGGCGTCTGTTTTTAAATTCTCCTAATGGAGCCTTTGGGTCAGTGTTCCGAAATCGTTAACCCCAGGTTCGTCAAACGTCTCTGCCCGTCCTGCGGGTTTGTCCGGCTGTGTGTGTTGATGAGGCGGAACCGTAAGCGTTTGTTCTATTTCTGTGTGCGTTGGTCTCTGTCTGGGTCTCACGCTCCACTGAGTCATTGATTCATTGATTCATTGGTGTCAACAGTTGTGAGGTCCGTCCGGTTCGTTTCGCCTGCGGCCGGAACCATCGTCTGTTCCATGCATTGTCCTGAGTTGTCATGGAGTAGAGGGCAGTGGGCGTGTCTTAAATAGTACCTATAGAACGGCAGTAGCTGAATGTAGGTGAAGTATCGTCTGACTCCACTGGGTGGTTCATGTCCTTAGAGTTTATAAACAGTCTTTGAATAGTAGTTAAAACGTCACCTGTGTCACATGACTGCAGTGATGCAACTACTGTAGGTTGTTTACATCAACGATGACCATCCGTCCTTTAATTCTGTGAGGATGTTGTTGTGGAGCTGGTGTTCAATAACTGTAGATTACTGTGATTGAGAACTGATTGTGATTGTACTCAGTTTTCTGGTGATCAGTCGTACTCGACGTTTATCTGTGATGTTTGTTAGATCTCAAGGCCAGGTCAGACCCCCGTTCCATAACGTTCTCCAGGGGAACCAACTCTCCACAGTACCACCTTCACTTTGTTAGTCTGGATAAAGTTACAGTTCATGTTTTGTCAGACACCCAACCCCGTTCTGTGTGTGTGTCATACACACTGTACTGCCGAAACTTTCTGTTCCAAACGTTTTTCTTTTTCCTTGTTCATTAAATGTGACACCCTGCTGTGAACAGAGTCAAACTAACCAACCCAATACGACGTCGTCTTTTGTCCGATGGCATGTGATGTGGTGCAGGGACACTGGTTTACTCAGCTGTGGACTGTTTTGATTTAGTTGGCCAGAAATGTTATCTGTTTGCTGTTGAGTCCTTGGTTCCTGCATCATTTTTTAAAAAATTTTGTTTTGATATCGACTTTGTCACGGCTGTGGATGGTCACAGAGAGACGTCATCTTTATCTTGTTTTAATCTTTGTCTGTGATTTGTGTGACCGTAGGAGAGCAACGTTCTCATCTCCTCCAAAGACCTCCTCACTAGTGAACCTCGCAGCAATGGTAATTATTTCTTTTAGTTCTCTGTTCATTCTTCTTTATAAGGTTTTAGTGTCAGAGAAGACGCTGACTGTCCTGGCAGTTGATACAGACCTACATGTCTCACCTCTTTATTGAGCCTGGATCCTGCCGGTCTGACACTCCTTCTAATGAGCTGTGACTGTTGAGACACTCAGTGTGTGATCACAGTCTGTTCAACACCTCCTTAATCACTGAGCCTATAAGGAGACAAGTATGAATGTGAAAGTAAGCCTTTTAATTTGAAACTTTAGATCTGGAAGCAGCTAGAACACTGAAGAATGTTAAATAGGTTTGACTCCCGTCGGTGTTGAACCGGTCTTGGTCGGACCTGTCTCTCCCGTCCTGACACCTCTTTCCTGTCTAGCCTCCACCGATGCGTCACCGCTCCATGCGTGTTTTCATGAACGACGACCGCCATGTCATGGCCAAACACTCCACCATCTACCCCACTCAAGAGGAGCTGGAAAGTGTACAGAACATGGTATCCTGCACGGAGCGCGCCCTGAAGGCCGTCTCTGATTGGCTAGATAAGCAAGAGAAGGAGACGACGAAACCTGACCCGGATGGTACAGAGGCTGACAAGGAAAAGTGAGAAAATGACTTTTCTTGAAGTTATATTTTGACTATTTTCTCCTGAAACCTCGTTTGTTTTTTGTTTTTTTGTAGTGAGCAGAGAGACCACGCTGCTCGCTCTCTGCGGGGTGTCATGAGAGTCGGCCTGGTCGCCAAGGGACTTCTCTTGAAGGGGGACTTGGACCTAGAACTGGTCCTTCTCTGTAAGGACAAGCCCACCGTCGGTCTGCTGAAGAAAGTGTCTGAAAACCTTGAAATGCAGCTCAAGGTGAGAAAAAAAACTTTTTTTTAGAGGGGAGTAGAAGAGACAACGATACAAAATTCTTCTTTTTCTGTTTCTTAGTTTTTTTTTTGTAGCTCTTGTCATCAATTAATTTAATCATTATATTAAAGTGCATAAAGTACTGAAGATCTCCACAGTGTGATGGCTTTGGCTGATCGTTGAAGGTCAGATTAAATCTGGTTTCTGGTTTTTAGTTTCCACTTCTTTTAATCCAATTATGACCCCGTGTTCCACTGAAAGACGAGGTGCTTTCATCTTCTGGATTCAGATTCACTGGAGTCTGAGTCATTCCGTCTTGGCAGATCAGTACAGCGAGTGCTCACCACCAGATGACTTTCCTATCTAACATCAGAGTCATTTACTCCTAAGGCGATTATGAAAAATTCATTTTTTAAAAATGTTATTAATATTTTGTGTCATCTGTCACATGAAAGAGAATCTAAAATCCCAGCATTCCCTGAAGGAACTCCACTGAGCTCTAATGAAAAGTCATTCCCTGGAGCTGCCAAGAGCTTGTCATGATTTCAGCCAATCCATCAAGGATGGAGGAAATCCTGTCAACTTCATCTACACCCGTGACGTCGTACCGACGGCCAGTCTGTGAACTCTGGGACGACTTCATGTCACAGGGATGAAAACTATGACAACAGCAGCAGGAGTTTTAGGTTTATACTTCACTGCTGCAAATTTACCTTTAGTTTGTATTTATGTTTATGTTTTTTCACTAGTTATAGTTTTATATATATATATGTTTAGCCATACCTCAAATTAGTTACTCATGATCTTACAAGTTGTGTACTTTGTACTGTGTACTGCGGTTGCCAAGCAACGACATTCTGTTGCCAGACTCACTGTTTTCTGTGTTTCTGTGCGAAGACAATGAAGAAAGTGATTGACACTCAGACAGTCCAGGTGTAGTTTTACACTCGGACAGTCCAGGTGTAGTTTTACACTCGGACAGTCCAGGTGTAGTTTGACAGTCCAGGTGTAGTTTGGACAGTCCAGGTGTAGTTTTACACTCGGACAGTCCAGGTGTAGTTTCACAGGATGGACCGTCCAAACACGTCCTGGGAGAACTGATCGTCTGATTCTAGGAAACCTTTTAAAGTACCGTGACAACATGAACCCAGTGGAACTGTTTTTTTTTTCTAGATCCAAACTTTATTATTGGGTTCTAAACCCGTCTCCATTTACCTGCTGTAAAATAATCTGCAGATTAACCTGCTGGGTCTTGACTCACTGAGACGTAGAGAGGAATATAGTGAATCTTCCTGAAGGTTTATCTCTTAAGCTCTCAGTTTTCAGACCTGTCATAGTACATTTGGTCTCTCACTGCAAGTATTGACACGAGGACTGACTCTACTGCAGTACTTTTCTACATGACAGCTCTCGGTACAAACCCAAACTCCTCCTCCGTGCTGTGGTGTTGCCCACTGAAACTGGAGCTGCGTGTTTTTATGATGACTAAAGAGTGAGCTCCTCAGCTGTGGACGATGACCTCGTCTTCTCTTCCTTCACAGCTGATCGTAGAGGACAAATACGTGGTAACGCAGAACATCCGGGAAGCCAGTATCGTCATCCAGAACACCAGTGAGCCCCCCCTCACTCTCACCATAAACCTGACCTCCCCATTGGTTCGTGAGGAGATTGAGAAGGCCGCAGCTGGAGGTAAGCGCTGTCACCTGGACCTCGTGGGCTCAGATCGCCCCCCCACCCCGACCCCCCGTAGGGAGGCCCGGTAGGCAACCAGACTAGTGATATTGTTTATTGGGCCGTCAATGGAGCTGGGGGGTCGAGAACTGCAGTGTCATGTGATGAAGGTGCTGTGGTTAGAGCTGCCCCCTCACTCTCAGAGTTCCATGGAATGTAGTTGTACATTGTTGATGGCCCAATATACAGTAGGGGGCAGTAGTGGAGCCACTGCTGAAGAGGTGGCTTTTCCTCCTTTAATGATTGATTTCACAAATGAAATGAAGGCTTACTGAGAATATGACAAAGGAGAGAGAGAGAGAGAGAGAGACCACTGTGTTTGCATGTGTTTTATCATTGATGATGAACGGTTTGCATTGCAGCAAAATGAGTAGCAGAAGTGTGTGGAGAAATTGTCTTTGGTTTGTGACCCATCAGTGGGGATGGGAACCCAGGCTCCAAAGAACCGTGATCTGATTGGTCCACCATCGGTTCACTAGGAGCGTTTCCATGATGAAAGACTTTAAGACACGCACGTTTCCTAGAATTTGGAACTTGTACAGTGACTTTAAACGTCTTAAACATCCCTGGTTACATTAGGACGTCATAAACTGGTCACGTCCTGTCCTGTCCTGTCCTCACCGTCTGTCACCGTAGGCTGACGTCCACCTCCTGTAAAGACGGTTAATGAACTCTAAGATCATCCACCTGGACATTTACACTCAGGTGTGTATTTATGTGGACCTATCATCAGACGGATGTTTGATTCCTGATCCCGTATCAATATCACCTCAGTCATTGATCAGTTATTGATTTTTTTTTTCTCCCCAATTCCCAGTCCAATATTCCTGGCGTTGGTTCAATTTATTTTTCTTTTTTTTTTCTCCGGTGATTCCAAACGTAGATCCCTCTGTTCCAGAGTTAGTATCGTGTCAGAATTGATCCAAACAAACAGAATCGATCGATCGATCATACTGGTAATAGAATCATCAAATTTTTATCAGTTCCCATCCCCACCATCAGTGGGCCGATGACAGTCTCTGAATTTCCTCGTCAGGGTTAGAGATAATGACAAGGAGAACCCCTTCCCCCCCCCCCATTTGTAGTTAGGTTAGTTCCTCCTGTAGTTTCTGACAGATTTTAGCTCATCTTCATCTTCATGATGATATATTTTTATGTCAGTATTTTCCCTCAATCTGGAGTTCAGGCCTTGACCTTATCTGTGACCCTGCAGTCACTGGCGCCCTCTTTGGGTCGTTCTTTGAAGCCATCAGTTTTGCTGCAGTGTGGACCTGTTTTGATACTCACATTTTGTGCATCTGATAACTTCTGCCTGTGGTTCCAATTCTGATTCTCTCTGTCAAGCCTTCTAGTTTGTCAATTTTTAGGGATGCTGGACCTTTGACCAACTGGCCGCTCTCTGTCTCGGAAGGGGCAAAGTGCAGTGCAACCAGAATAGGGACGAAGGGGAGGGGGTCTGCCTCCTTTTAACACCTGAGAAAAAGCACACTTTCTTACAAAGAGCTGTCCATTGAGTGAAAGCAGCCAGAGAGAGAACCTCCCTCTAAACACCACCCAGTATTTAGTCAATATTTAGTCAATATTTAGTCACCATCCTTGACCTGGACATAAAGTCGTAATCATTTGACTTTGTGTCGTCCTGCTGGGCTTGAAGTTTAAAAACTGTGTGCTGGACCATGCAGTGGTCAATGTTGACTCGGGAGGTTGAGACTTTTTGACGGTTCTCCAATGGAGAGGTGCCCCCTCCCCCCCTCCCTGCTGCCTGTGGTTTTGGGAAGGCTGCCTGTGTTCCCCCTGGCCGGCTGACAGAACTCCCCTTGGTCAAACTGTACCTTGTCTTCTTATTCCACCTGCCAATAGAAACGCTTTCAGTCATCGATCCTGCGGATGTTCTGGACAGGCAGAAATGCCTGACTGCCTTGGCGTCTCTCCGCCACGCTAAGTGGTTCCAGGTTTGGATCTTGTCTTTATTTGTCTCTAAAACAATGTAGTTTTGAGTTTGGTTCGATGCTGAATGTTCTCTCTTCATTTGATTTGAAGCCTTCATGTGTTTTTGTTTCTTTTTTTTCTTTTTTTTACCTTGAATATTCAAACATTTCTTTTCTTAAGGTCCCATCGTCATTACAGCAACGTAGAGTTGCTTTGCTGACATAGAGATTATTTCCCACTGCAGTGCTACCTTTACTGTATCTGCTTCTCCATGAGCGCCCCCTGCAGCTGTTTAACAGACAGGCAGATAGATCAGGGACTAACACACACACACACACGTACACACACGTACAAGTGTCCAGGTGCAATATTCCTTTGTCTTTTTTTAAAGAGATAAAAACCGTGACCTTGGGGTCAACCATGTTTGATTATGTCATAGTTCAGTGGCCTGTGTCGTGCTCCACCCCCGCCCCACCATTTGTCCCACCTTTGTTCGTGGTGAGTGCAGCCTCAACTTTCCCTCCTCTGACTGTTTTGTCTCCGTCTCTGCCACAAAAACAAGAGGAATATTGCACCTGGATTCATGTGTTTTTTTTTGTTTTGTTTTTTTTTAACTTCCACTGAGTCGACCGCTGTCTCCATCAGAAAGTTTAAGGTGATCTGATTGGCTGTTTCCCATCGATCGTGTTCTGTGTGAAAACTTCACCTTCAAATAACGTTGCGACTTAACTGTAACTATTTGTGGAGCTGAATTAATATTAGATGATGATGATGATGATGATGATGTAGTGACGTCAGAGAGGGTCATCAGTCATTACTGTCTACGTCTCCTCTGAGCTGTGGTAGTCTGTGTGGCTTCATTGTTTTTCATTTACCTGGGTGTTTGCTTTGCTTTTTGACCCCCTCACACACACACACACACTCACACTCACACACAGACTTCCTGTTACACTGAGAGTCACGGGTCGTCCTCATGCCCCCCCCCCCCCCCCCCTCCTCCCTTGCTTGTGTCTGCAGGCCAGAGCCAACGGACTCCGCTCCTGTGTTATTGTCATCCGGATCCTGAGGGACCTGTGTTGTCGTGTTCCGACGTGGGCTCCTCTCCGCGGTTGGGTGAGTTCATTGCGCCGACCACAGGCTCTGCCAGAGAGTTCAGTTGTAGAAAATCCAAGTGAAGTTGTTACTGTGGACGTTCTCTGAGCCAGAACACAGAGAAACACATGAATTAATGAAAGTAAAATGTGATTTTGTTTTTCTTGGTTGGCATCAGAAAAATCCAAATGTTGTTCTTTTGAGGGTGATTTCTTTGATCACTTCTTTTCTTCAATAATTCTGCTTCCAAAAACATTTTTCAAATTAACTTTGACATATTTGTTTGGATTAAATCTTTTCATTTTCTGAGAAGCACGCCACCACCGTGCACTGGTCGGAATCACAGAGATACCATCGAACACCGTGACCTAGAATCTCTCCGTGTTGGCAGCCAAGTTTAAAAATAGCATCCTTGAACAAAGTGTCCGTCTCTCCTGCTGCGTAGCCCCTGGAGCTGATCTGTGAGAAGGCCATCGGTACCGGGAACAGGCCCATGGGGGCCGGAGAGGCTCTGCGCAGAGTTCTGGAGTGTCTGGCGTCAGGGATCCTCATGGCAGGTACGGACGGAATCTGCTGTCAGGTTCAGGTTCTGAAAGTGTCTCCCCTCACGAGTCCATGACTGTCGGTTGTTGCAGATGGTGCTGGGGTCTCTGATCCATGTGAGAAGGAGCCCACCGATGCTATTGGTCACCTGGACCAGCAGCAGAGAGAAGATATCACAGCGAGTGCACAAGTGAGGAGGATAAGAGAGTGTGTGTGTGTGTGTGTGTGTCTCTGGTCAGTGAAACACTGTTGTCACCGTTGTGTCTACAGCATGCCTTACGACTGTCAGCATTTGGACAGCTTCACAAAGTGCTTGGAATGGACCCCCTCCCCTCAAAGATGCCCAAGAAACCTCCAAACAAGTCCCCCATGGATTACACTGGTGAGGTCACGGCCCAGGTCACGGCCCAGGTCACGGCCCAGGTCACGGCCCAGGTCGTCGTTTAACTGTGGTCACCACCTCCATTTTCACGTCTGTGCCTTTGTGTCTGTTGCAGTTCAAATCCCACCCAGCACAGCCTACGCCCCCCCAATGAAGAGGCCCATCGAGGAGGAGGAGGGGCCAGATGACAAGAGTCCTAACAAGAAGAAGAAGAAGTTGCAGAAGAAATGTAAGTCATAAAAACCTAAAAATCATGACGATGAAACGTTAACCCTTTAAAGACGAAGTCTGTTTGTGAATAAGACGACGGTGGATTTTTAAAATAAATTATTCAAAATATATTAATAATGATTCATTTCAAAATTTTTCAAACATTTTTTTTTCAAAGATTTTAACCAAAATTTTTGAAATCAATGATTTGCTGTAGCAAGTCCTGAAAAAAGGGACAAAGCTGAAAGAAAAAGAAGATCCACTAGGTGGTAGTGAAAGCCCATTTGTGGTGATACCAGTGTCTGGTTCATTCATTCATGTCATGTCATGTGTTTTGACCAGCCACTGACGAGAAGGCGGAGCCTCCACAGTCTATGAACGCCCTGATGAGACTCAACCAGCTGAAGCCGGGCCTCCAGTATAAACTGGTCTGTCAGACCGGACCCGTCCATGTCCCCGTCTTTACAATGTCTGTGGAGGTGGACGGGAAAACCTTTGTGGCCTCTGGCCCGTCCAAACGCACCGCCAAGCTGCACGTGGCCGTGAAGGTGGGTTCAGTCGACCGCGGTGTCAAACATGGTCTGTGGTGTCAAACATGGTCCTACGACGTGTGTGTGTGTGTGTGTGCTGTCATTTCAGGTCCTGCAGGACATGGGTCTGCCTACAGGTGTGGAGATAAAGACGGAGGTCAAGTCAGAACCAGAGGAGACCAGTGTTACCCCAGAGGAGGAGAAACCGGTTGTTCTTCCTGCAGAAACGACCACAGCTGCCAAACCAGAGGACAGTCCAGACACCAGCGGCGCTGCAGAGGTACAGAACAAGGACCAGGTGAAGGTGTTGGGGTTTGTTTGTTTTTTATCCACTGATGTTGATAACAACATTTCCCTGATGGTTTCCGTCTCTGCTCTCAGACCGCTCGTCAGCAGGGACCAATACTGACCAAAAATGGCAAGAACCCTGTCATGGAGCTGAATGAAAAGCGCCGTGGCCTCAAGTACGAGCTGATCTCAGAGACCGGCGGGAGCCACGACAAGCGCTTTGTCATGGAGGTGGAGATCGACGGGCAGAAGTTTCAGGGGACGGGGTCCAATAAGAAGGTGGCCAAGGCCTTCGCTGCTCTGGCTGCTCTGGAGCAGCTGTTCCCTGAAGGCTCTGTGGTGGAGGCTGCGAAGAAGAAGAAGGGACCGCCCATGGTACGTACCACGGGTGTTTGACCAAGTGCTGTATCAGGCTGCCACACAGGAGGCGCTGTTTGACCATTCTGAGGAAATCTTTTTGTTGTTGTTGTTGTTGTTCAGCACACAGTCATTTTCAGTATCATGGGCCCCCCCATGCACGAAGATACAGGTCTGCCCAGGGGCAGAGGGCGAGGAGGCCGAGGGCGTGGACGAGGGCGAGGCTACAACAATGGAGGAGGTTACGCTCAAGCAGGTGAATGAAACATTTGATGTTTAGTCAGTCAGTCAGTCAGTCAGTCAGTCAGTCAGTCAGTCAGTCAGTCCCCGTGATCACCACAGTGACCTCATGTGGTTCGTCTGGTCTCTGCACTTCAGGTGGATTTGGGACGTACGGCTACGCCACGCACAACAGCTCGAATTCATTATACAGTGAGTATTCTCTTGACCTTTGACCTCTCCTGCTGTCAGTGTTGCCTTCAGGAGCTCAGTTACACTGAGGTGTGAGCCTCCTGGTCTCAGGGTGCTGCGTCTGCCTGGGGGGGGTGCATGTTGGGATGTTCACGGTGCAGTCATTTTACATTTCTCTGCTTTAAGCCACAGGATTGTTCATGTTCTTTTGACGACCCCCCCCCCCCTCCTTTTGAGAATCTTTTTGCGTCTTTGTGGCAGCCTGTTCTGAGGACTGGCCGACCTGAGAGTGACAGGAGCAGAGAAATCTAAAACCTACCCCCAACAGTTGACTTTGACAAGATCTGACCATCAGTCCGACTGTCGATTGGTGGCAGAGATAAATCCAAATCTAATTTTGATATTCTTCCCCTCTCTGCTCTGTCTCACTCTGTAGGTGACTTTGTCTCAGACTCCTATGGCAGCCACGAGTTTGGGAACATTGATGTTCCTCTGTCCTAGAAATTGAGAAACAAAAAAAACAGTCTTGTAGAAAAGGAGTATAAAATGGATGAAATCCTCAGTAGTGTTGCAGCAGCAGCATCGTGAACTCCCTCCGTCCGCCACAAGTCTGCCACACTGGGGGAACAGTGACGTCCTCGACACCACCCGTCCTGCCAGTCTGCTTGTCACGTTCTGAACCTCCAGAGACCATGTGACCCGTGTGCATGTTAACATCATTCAACTTCTGTTTGTTTAACTTGCTGTGGATGTTACTAAACACCTGGACCCCCCAGGACCGAGTCTGGATGAAGTGAAAAAAAAAAACTGGGGGGGGGGGGCAGACAATAATGAGGGCAGTAGCAGCTCAGTCTTTGCCCCTCACCCACCCCCGTCTCCCAGAGCCCCCACTCTGTCTCTGTTTCCAGCTGTTATTGTTACTGTACTATGACAAATAAAGTGTGTCAACCTGCTGAGGGGGGGTCAGAGGGGGGGCACTGGGTGACAGTAGGGCTGAGTGTTGGCAAGAATCTGGTGATACGACGTGTATCGCGATACGGGGCAACAGTACAATATATTGTGTACTAAATAATATATTTATTTGCCCCCCCCCCAGTGTACCTTTAGTCCAGTACTTCTCGATGAACCAAAACCAGGAATGTATTTCCATACATTCCTACATCCCATAATTACAGGGTGTTGAGTTGAGTTCATCTGTGAAGTCGGCTTTGTGTTGGAGGTGCTGATGGCAGATGTCTCCTCATCCACAGCACTGTTCTGGTCAGTGTTGTGGTCTGTGGTGACATCATCATGATGTCATCAGTCTCATGTTAATGTAACGAGCCTCACACTGTTCCCAACGACAGAAGTTGGACTGAACTACACACACACACACACACCTGCAAATATATAAATATATAAAACAGCCGTCAGGGGAGGGGCTCTGGCTGAGCTGCAGCCGCTGCTTAAAAAACTAGCTGAAACTGTAGCGTTA